AGCACTTTGGGAGGCTGAGGTGAGCGGATCACTTGAGGTCAGGTGTTTTACACTAGTCTGGCCAACATGGTGGAACCTCGTCTCTACTAAAAATACAAAAAATTAGCCAGGCATGGTGGTGGACACCTGTCATCCCAGCTACTTGGGAGGCTGAGGCAGGAGAATTGCTTGAACCTGGACGCAGAGGTTGCCGTCAGCTGAGATTGCGCTACTGCACTCTAGCCTCGGAAACAAAGTGAGACTCCATCTCAAAAATAAAAAAATAAAAAAAACTGTCGGTTATTTGGGGCTACTCGGGAAGCTGAAGCAGAAAGATTCCTTGAGACCAGGAATTCCAGACCACCTTGGGCAACATAGCAAGACCCATCTGAAAGAAAAAATTAAAAGATAAACAAGTGGCGGGGCGCGCAGGGGCTCACATCTGTAATCCCAGTACTTTGGGAGGCCAAGGCAGGCAGATTACGTGAGGTCAACAGTTCAAGACCAGCCTGACCAACATGGAGAAGCCCTGTCTTTACTAAAAATACAAAAATTAGAACTCGGTGGTGGCCACTGCGCAGACCAGACTTCGCTCATCCGTGCGCCTCGCTCCGCTTTTCCTCCGCAACCATGTCTGACAAACCCGATATGGCTGAGATCGAGAATTTCGATAAGTCGAAACTGAAGAAGACAGAAATGCAAGAGAAAAATCCAGTGCCTTCCAAAGAAACGATTGAACAGGAGAAGCAAGCAGGCGAATCGTAATGAGTCGTGCGCCGCCAATATGCACTGTACATTCCACAAGCATTGCCTTCTTATTTTACTTCTTTTAGCTGTTTAACTTTGTAAGATGCAAAGAGGTTGGATCAAGTTTAAATGACTGTGCTGCCCCTTTCACATCAAAGAACTACTGACAACGAAAGCCGCGCCTGCCTCTCCCATCTGTCTGTCTGGCTGGCAGGGAAGGAAAGAACTTGCATGTTGGTGAAGGAAGAAGTGGGGTGGAGGAAGTGGGGTGGGACGAATGTGAAACCTAGAGTAAAACCAAGCTGGCCCAAGGTATCCTGCAGGCTGTAATGCAGTTTAATCAGAGTGCCATTTTTTTTGTTCAAATGATTTTAATTATTGGAATGCACAATTTTTTTAATATGCAAATAAAAAGTTTAAAAACTTAGCTGGTGTGTCTGTTTGGTCTCTGGAAGGATCGGGGATGAAACCTTGTAAAGAGGCCTGCCTCTTGGTCCACTGGGGAGGGACAAGCATCTGGTGATTGGGTAAATTCCCTTATGGCATAGAAACAGGGTTTCACCTAGGTTTGCAAAATCCCTTGTCTATACTAGGTGATTAGGAGATCATTTTTTCAGGCTGATGGAATTCCTAGTATGAATCGTATGAGAGCTTTAATAAAATATATTTGTAGTTTTTAACGGGTTTTGATAAGCCAACACTTTATTGCACATGCTCAAGAAAATGAAGGTGATAATTTACGGCACAGTATCTTATTTCAGGTATGAAATTGAAATCGGTTATTTAACCAAGTGCTAATATTAACATAAATGAGTAAAAATTATATTTTTAGCAGCAGCTCTAGGAAGAAATTTAGGGCTTGAGCTTACTTTCTAATGAATGCTTCCTAATTAGAGTTCAATATTTAAAATTGCTTTAATGAATACAGTTACCATTAGTAAACATGATTTTAAATTTATTGGGTCCTCTTCGTTTGCATAATCTTTGGATTTAAAAGATACTTATTCGATCTTTTGGGTTTAAGGGACACTAGCAGGACACAGGTGAGATTTGTACTAAGTTTAAAGCAGGTGGGAATTAACACATTTAGGTCTTTAAGTCCTTTTTAACTTCTCAATCATCAGAAGTAGTTATTTTCACTGATGGGTAAAAGCGAAGTCCTTGGTGTGGGAAGACAGAGAAACAATATCAATTTTTTAAGAGTTAAAAAAAAGATTTGCCATTCTTAAAGGTCTTTAATCCTTAATGGATTCCTCGGTTCTGCAGGGAAGGGTGGAGATTTTTTTTTTTTATAAGCACCAATTTTATTAAGCCGAAACAACAGCATTTAAGAAGGCTCTTGGTTCACAAAATGTCTCGGCAAAGCTAAATTTTACAATGCAAATGTCCAAGAAGTTAAACATTTTTCTCTCAAAACCGACTTACGAAAATACTCTTTTTGAAGGGGATGGGTAGGGAAAACTGTTGATCACTATTGAACTGGTTGCTTTCATTTCCTTTGCTCAACACTTTGAGAAATGCACAGGAAACCATTTACCTGTGGGTTAGACAATCAAGTAGACCTTCGGGCTAGAAGCCTTGCTCTGCATTGCAAGGGGTGTGTACTGGCTGCTGCAGAGGCTGCTACAAAACCTGAAGCGCCACAGCCCGCTCAGCTCCGTGGAGAGAAGACAGAGGAGTGAGTACAAAGGTCTCAAAATGGAGACGGGCCTGGAGACCTACAGTTTTCTTTTCTTTCCTGTAAGGAAGGGTGTGGGCACAGTGCAAATGCCCAAGGCACAAAGAGAAACCATTCCTACGTAGGTTTTTGCTGTGTGCCTTTTTCAAACAATGCAAAGACGAAAGAAAATTTTAAGAAATTAACACAGCTCCAGTGTTCCTCAGTTGAAGAAGGAACATTTAGAAAAAAGAGATGATTCATGAAATAAAAGGCCCTTCTCTCCTAGGAGGACAAAGCTAAAACAGCAACAACAACAAGTAAAATAAAAAATCTGGTAATGATTGCATTCAGGCTGCTTGGCATGTGGAATGGGGAAATTCAGAAGCTTCTGCCTATATCACACTGTACGCTTAACTGCTGCACACGGGAATAGGAGAGACTTCATTTATTTATTTTTAAATTTTTGATGGGGGATTCTTCATTTTTTCCCAAGAGAGATTCTTCCCAGAAGGGCTAGGGGTATTTATGAATCAGTGTGGGAATATATGTTCCTGCTATGTAAGACTTGGGAGTCGACAGTATTTTTCAAAGATACAACGGGGACAATTAGATTTACCCTTAGAATGAGAGAACGCTGGGATTGAAGGAGACCCTATGAATGTTTCTCCTCCCCCCAGGAGGTCACACAGTTTTGTCTAGGATTTCTGCAAATTTTGAATTGATAAAGACAAAGCCAAAATAAAGGAAATAAAAAGAGACTCACTAAAGCACCTTTGAGATTGAGCGGGCTTCATTTTGAAATCTTGCAAATTTGTCAACCATCACAGCCACATTTCCAGCCTTCCAGTGGTTGGAATTTTAAAGCTACTTTATTCTTTCTGGAGAACAACACAGCTTTTGGGTTGTGTATGTATGGGGGTGTGGGGGGGGGTTTCAAAATCTTAACAAACCTTGAATCTCTCGGCTGTATAAGAGACCCATTATAGTCAAAATCAGGTATTGTCTCCTTTAAATGCACAAGGAAGGTCTATTTATTTTCCCCCAAAGAAGCATGTAATTCCTCAAGAGACAAAAAGAAAATATTTCTGCATTTTTTTTCTAAACATATGGGGTCAATTTTGTGCTTACTAGAAAGAACAGTGCATTTTGGAAACAACATTACAGACAAAAAGTAAAAATAAAAAATCTTGAGTCTTTGTTCAAGAATGTAAACTTAAAACGTTAAGAACACTGAAAGCACTTAATGCTTCGTTTACCCTGGTAGCCTTCACTAGCCTAGCAAGAAAATAAGAAAAAATACCCTCCCCACTCCACACCCGCCAAATTCTTTCTTTTAGATTACACTTTCAAGAGTGGCTTACACTGCAATCTAAGAGAATCAAACACACCAATTTGGGACTCAACTAGGTTTTCTCTGCATGTAATGAGAAGGGGTGAAATTACAAATGTAAGGCAGAGATGTACAACAAAGCAAGCTAAGAAGAAAATGTTTCTAAGACCTGTATTTTCCTAGTTTATATTTTCCTTGGACACTTGCATAGCATTTCATTTCTCTAATCACATTGTCGTGCTAGTACCGTCTTTGCTCCTGGCTTCTGAGACTTTTGTAGGCAGGGCTGGTGCATGCTGCATTCATTGTGTACATACACTCTGCGCTCTTCCTTCTGTGCCCCAAAGCGCCTTGCATAGTATTAGACACATTAGGGCTTTAATATACACTTCTCCCCTTACTTGATGGAGACTTATTCTTCTTCTTCTTCCTTCTTCCTCCTCCTCCTTTCTTCTTCTTCTTCCTTCTTCCTCCTCCTCCTTTTTTCTTCCTCTTCTTTCTTTTTTTTGAGATGGGGTCTTACTCTGTCACCCAGACTGGAGGGCAGTGGTGCGATCTCGGCTCACTGTAGCCTCCACCTCCCAGAGTCAAGCGATCCTCCTCAGCCTTCTGAGTAGCTGGGACCACAGGCATGCGCCACCATGCCTGGCTAATTTTATTTTAAATTTTGCCATGTTGCCCAGGCTGGTTTCAAACTCCCAAGCTCAAGCAATCCACCTGCCTCAGCCTCTCAAAGAGCTGGGATTACAAGCGTGAGCCACCGCGTCCAGCCACGACTTCATTTAACATGCTTGTTTTGGGGTCCCTTTGAACATGTGAATGTCAGGTTAGATACCACAATTTTAAATCTTTTTTAAAAAAATATATATTTAAAGAGCTTTGAACAGTAATTTGCCACCGTCCTTGGTTGTGCTGATTTGAATCAATACTTATAGCCAACTTCGTATTATGAAGCCAGAGCACTGGATCATTAGTTCATTCCACCACTTCATGCCAGGTATTTCATTTGCCACAGAGACACAGCTGTAAGTAAGAAGATGCAGTCTCTGCCCTTCTGTGCCCTCCATGAGTTACAAGAGGCATTTTTCATCTAACTCCAAGTAGAAAATACTAAGAAATTATGCTTTTCCATTTTTAGGGTACATGATGAGCCTAAGGGCTATGAATTTCTAGATAAGGTTTAATACCTATTCTTTGTTTTACAGTGGCCATTTCTCCAAATGCGTCTAGAGTGATTAATTCAAATCCCTCCAAAAGCTCAATGGTGAGTGAAGTTTGAAGGAAATTGACTGATTCTTCACCTTGCAATCAAATCTTGTATTAGCATAGAAAGAATGGGCATGGTAACTCTTGCCTATTATTTTTTGAGAATCCTTGCTGAGGAATGCCCAAGATTTAAAAATGGACTGGACAAATAGTGTTTCGTTGTTGGTTTTTTTTTCTGGGTAGGGCCTTGGTCTGTTGCCCAAGCTGAAGTGCAGTGGCCCTATTATAGCTGCACTATGGCCTCAAACTCCTGGGCTCAGGTGATCCTCCCACCTCAGCCTCCTGAGTAGCTAGGACTACAGGCATGTAGTCAGTCCTAATAA